AGCTGTAACACAAATACACATAGAATTAAGGCACAGAAGACCCTACACTACTATATCCTACATTACAGTCAATGAAATTCAAACGCTGATTTCTCACTTGTGTCTATGCACTATGAGCCTCCTATTTACCATTTTCACTGTATCACTAATATTCAAAATCCCAGAAAAAAGGCTTTCTACAGTACCTTCAGATAGATGAAAATTAGAAACTAGAAAATGTGTAGCCTTATTAATAAAATATCTCAACTAATTTTATTCCAACACTCCACCACAGGTAACAGAAATAAAGCAAAAACTAAGAAGTCATTTTAAGGCCTGTTCTACAAAACGTTAGTTGTAATACCAATTGATAAAACATCGATCTCCCTGGGCTCAGGTTGTCTTCCCACCTCAGCCTCCTGGAATAGCTGGGATTACAGGCATGTGTCACCATGCCCAGCTAATTTTTTATTTTGTATTTTTTGTAAAGATGGGGTTTCTCCATGTTGCCCAGGCTGGTCTTAAACTCCGGGGTTCAGGTGATCCACCTGCCTGAGCCTTCCAAAGCGCTGGGATTCCTGGCATGACCCACCACACTCAGCCAGTAAAATCTTTTTAGTTTCTCATCATGCATCTCTCCCTTTGATTATTTTAATTCTCTGGCCCCACTATACCTTTTTCATTTTTCAGAAGTGTGATAACGTCAGGTGCAAATACATCATAATTTTGATTAAAAAAAAAAGAGTCAAAAACATGTTTTCAATATCCAATCAAATGATACTCTATTGCAGCAGCTGTAATAGTTTACCACTACAAAGTTCTTTAACTCTAGTCATAACCAAGAATCTAGAACTTTAGCAGGCACAGTGGCTCATGCCTATAATCCCAACACTTTGGGAGGTTAAGGTGGGAAGATTGCTTAAGCCCAGGAGTACAAGACCAGCCTGTGCAATATAGTGAGACACTGTCTATATAAATATATATTAAGTAAAAAAGAATTTTTTTAGAGAGGAAAAAGGAAGAAAGGAAGGAAGGAGGGAAGGAAAGAAAGAAAAGACACTAGAATTGAACAAGTTTATACTTGATTTTTTAAAAGGGCAAGAGAGGGAAACTAAAAGACCCTGTGAAGAAGAAAACATTTCAAAAATATCAATCAGAAAATGTTATGCAAGAAACTAGAAATGACAGGAGTCAAGTAGACAAGTTAGAAAATTACTGTTCAAATAATGGGTTCAAATGATGCAACAAACTTTTTCAGAAAATACACCAGTGGATACAATCAAACCACACCCTTTTAAACAAATACATTGGATGGTAACATATGAACTGCCACAACACTATCAGTAATCCTGACAGAAGGCATAATTATATTGCTTAACTGGCAACTAGGGGCATGCCTTCTTCCTATTAGAACTTGGCAGTTTCAAAAAAGCAGCCAAAAAACTACCAAATTTGAGGCTTTCTCGATGAGTTTAATTTCAGTCCAATTAGTAAGTATCTGCCACACTCTACATTAACAGACACAGATTTGTTTAAATTAATCTCCCCAGGGGCAGGCTAATTCAGGGGTTAGCATTATTAGAATCTGTGTGAACAACTGGGTGCAGGTGTTCACATTACCAACGGGAGAATTAACTCTTTACCCACCTACTAGCAGATAGTGGGTGTTCTGTGAACTACTGGAATTTTTAAAGGGTGGAGTGTATATGGGGACACTAATACGTAAAGCAGTGACACTGTAGGCTGAAAAATAATTTGTCTTCCTTTACAATAAGTGACTGCCTATCATTCATCACAGAAAGCTACAGTCACAAGTCAAAGTAACTATCGTATTACAATCATATTATGCTAAGTATATGTTACTGCTTCAGAATGTAACCTTTCAGAAGAAAACCAAGACTGGGTGTTAACAATCCTGTAAAGTAACTAAGCCTTTGTAGATAGTTAATAAACGGCAGACAATGCTCCTTTTGGCCCTGAACTAAACAGGTGTGGCACAAATCTGTTCAATGTGTCCTTTCCATTTTACATAAACAAGTAAAAGGCAAATCATGCTCCAATGTCCCAGAAAAAGACTTTCATTTTAGGGAGTAACTACCTATAGTGGCTTGCGACTGCCTTAAGATGAATTTGTTTAGAAAGTCTGTTTTAAATTGATCATATCCGTTTCTCTAACATAAAATACTAAGTTTGTATTTAAAAAATGTAACACCAAAAAATTTACAACACATTCAAGAAAATGTTAAGTGGCCACAAATCCAAATGAGCACTGCGACAATCTGACTTCTTGAAATAACTTTTCCAACTATGACAAGGAAAACAAACAAACAAAAAGTTTTGAAATCACCGAAGTTAGCTTGAAAAATACATCATCATCCCAAAACCAAACCAAACCATATCCCAGGAGAACCGCCACAGCGAGTAAAATTCAAAGTTTAAGATGCTCTACTGAGAACAGACCAGTCATCTATTCCTCAAGGAGTTCAATCACAGAACAGTCTCGTCAAATATAATTGCCTACAAGACATCAGCACACAGTTTAAAGAAGGTTATGCAGATTGCCTGCTTAGAAAGAAAACAGAATGCTGGTAATGAAAGATACCAAAAAATGAACAATTGTGAACAGCAGTAAGTGAAATTAATGAACTTGAGAGGACTAATCTTTTTTAACCACAGTAATTTTTTTTTTAATATTTTATCAGGAGAAATTGTCCCATTGAGTGACAGCTGCCACTGGCACAGTCCCAGGGCAAGGATGCCATCAAAGGCTTTCTCTCAGCACCAGCTACCAAATCCTGGCCCCACAGCCCGAGGGAGGACCTGTGAAAGTGCTCACAATAATTTTCTTGCCATTAAATCAAATATTTGATGAGGAAATACAAAACAAGATCATCACACTTTTTCTTTTTTTTCTTTAAAGAGATGGGGTTTCACTCTATCACCCAGGTCACTGCAGCCTGGAACTCCTGGACTCAAATTCTCTCACCCCAGCCTCCTGAGTAGTTGGGACTACAGGCAATTATCACTATTATATTTAAAATAAGTTTTCCATTTCATCATATGAGGTTTCAAGATGAGGGTCTTAGATCAAGTGGAAAACTAAGTTAAAATGAAACATCACTTTTTTTACTTGAGGTGAATTTACTAGAACTACTTACTCATCCATATATATAGCAACCATCAGGAATGTGTTCATATTTACATGCTGCAGCAGCAGTGATCACATTCCTATGTGTGCATATGCATATATGTGTATGTATATTTCTTTAACTTTTTCAATCTAGTTAAAAGTATTCTTAGTTCATAAGCATTGTACGTGTACAGACGCATTTTCCCAGAACTACTTGAAGAGGACAGGAAATCCTTTGTAACATTATTACAATGGCTAAATGACTGACAATTGTCTCCAATACCCATACACATTCTCTAAAAAATGTTTCAATCAGTCCACAAACCGTATTTCCAAACCACTGAATACAAGTTTATATTGTCTTCTATCAATGGGATGGCTTATTACAAAATTCAGTAAATTTGTTTCTAAGTCCAAGGGTATTGATAGCCATAAGCACTTTCTTGAGCTTACTGGGTCACACAAACTAAACACATGAAGGCCGGGCACGGTGGTTCACAACTGTAATCCCAGCACTTTGGGAGGCTGAGGCGGAAGGATCACGAGGTCAGGAGTTCAAGACCAGTCTGGCCAACAAACTGAAACTCCGTCTCTACTAAAAATACAAAAATTAGCTAGGTGTGGTGGCACGCACCTGTAGTCCCACCTACTCGGGAGGCTGAGGCAGAAGAATCACTTGAACTCGGGAGGCGGAGGCTGCAGTGAACCGAGACCACACCATTGCACTCCAGCCTGGATGACAGAGTGACACTCCATTTCAAAAAAAAAAATTCTAAAAGACCCACCTGGGAGCTGGGTGAGGTGGCTCATGCCTGTAATCTCAGCACTTTGGGAGGCCGAGGCAGGAGGATCACGAGGTCAGGAGTTCAAGACCAGTCTAGCTAACATAGTGAAACCCCGTCTCACTAAAAGTACAAAAAATTAGCCAGGCATGGTGGCAGACACCTGTAATCCCAGCTACTCAGGAGGCTGAAGCAGGAGAATTGCTTAAACCTGGGAGGCAGAGGTTGCAGTGAGCAGAGATCGCGCCATTTGCACTCCAGCCCTGCGGACAGTGCGAGACTCCGTCAGGGGAGGTGGGGGGAAGACATGAACAGCATGACCACAGGATTGCAAGATTAAGGTGAAAAACCTTTAATTGTTCAAAATGGGATGTCTCAACCTCAGCACAGGTGACATTTTGGGCCAGATCAGTCCGTTGCGGGAGCTTTCCTTTGTATTATCGAATATGTGGCAGCATCGCTGGCCTCTACCCACTAGATGCCAGTATCACACCCTGCCCAGGTGTAAGAACATTGACAAATGTTTCCTGGGGAGCAAATTTTGGTCTTAGAGTCTAAAAACCTAGTACAGTGTGCCAGTTTCAAAAGAGTATACTCTGCAACACCAAGGAAGTTCCCAAAACACCACGCATTCCAAATAGCTTTTAGACAATACTTTCTTGGATGAAGTAAATGAAACCTCGTTACCGTAGATAGCTAATTCTTCCACATGTGCATGATTAAACACTTGATGATGAATCTGGGACAGGCTGGGACAGGAGCCAACAGTGACTGGGTTTTAACAGTTTCGATGAATTACACCTCCTTTTAACCCTTCAGTGGATTAACCATCCCCGCCAGGTTAACCCTTTCTTCGCAAACCATCTTCCCCCGACGCCTTCCACTTAAGATGCCCTCCAGCGGGCCTCCACCTTGGACACTACCTCCCACCGCACTGGAGTCGGCTCTCACTCAAGGGTTCAGCCACCTTGCACCACCACGCCAGCCTGTCCTTGTCACATCATGCTACCCGGGCCTCAGCTCTCATCCTGGCATCCCCCACCCAGGCCCGCTCTTGACCCCTGACCCGGCCTGACCCCGCCGCCCCCTCCCCGCCCCCAGGGAGGTACCTGAAGTAGTAGACATCGCTCTTGCCAGCACTGAGCCCAGATTTTCGGATCACTTCCTCCTTCTTCCATCCGGGGGGGAGGGCCGGGCAGTCCATCCTCTTCCCGCTCTCCGTGGCCCGGGGTCCCCTGGGCCCCGGCCCCGCGCTCCCCGACGGGAAAGGGACCGGCTCCCGCCGGGGGGCGCCGCCGCCACCGCTGCTGCCGCCGCCGCCGCCGCCGCCGACGCCGACGCCGCAGCCGCCGCCGTCGCCGCCAAGGCCGCTGCCGCCACTCGGGGGACGGCCGCGGCCCCGGCCCCGGCCCCGGCCCCGTCCCCGGCCACGGCCCCGGCCCCGGCCACGGCCACAGACGCCGCCGCCCCGGCCCGCCTGCTTCCACCGCCCCCGGCCACGGCCGCCGCCCCGAGCGCCTTCCCTGCGCACGCCGCTCACCGGGGACGGGGCGAGCGCGCTGCCCTGGCCCCCCTGCTCTATGGCGGAGTCGCCGCCAGCGCCGCTGCCGCCCGCCGCGCTCTCCCCCTCCTCCTGCTCCGGGCAGCAGCGGCCTCCCCCCGGGTGCGCGCGCATCCAGCCCCCTCCCCAGCCGGCGCTGCGCTTCTTCCGTAACCGAGCCCTTGGAATCCCGGAGACCCGCCCCGCCCGCAGCGCGGCGCGCGGGGGACGCGCGCAAGCATCATAGAGCGGGCGCGCACAGAGCGGCCCTCCTGCCCGGGGCGTGGCCCCGGCCGCCGCCTCTTAGGTCCTCCAAGCACTCTGGGCAGCCATCTTGTCTCCGCCTCCTCGGGGCCACGCCCCTTGCCGCGGTTTTCCAGCCCGGACCCCCACCGGGGTGCGCGTCGCCACCACCGTTACGTGATTTTACCTATGTTTGCTTCCCAATTAGTGAATAACAAGCAAAATAGATCTTATATTTTATACTTACTAACTCGGCTATTCATTTAAGGGGATGATAGCCCCTTTTCCCACCTCTGCACAAAGCTTTCAGGGGAGCTTACATTGAAGGAATGAAGCCAAGGGTCCCATTCGCTGAATACCAGTGCCCTCCTGAGCCTGGCTTCAGAGCCATAGACAGATTCTGCTGGGATCTTGTAAGGCTGTAGAAAGGGAAATGATAACTTGGAATCTATCCATGAGGCCCATGGGGCTTACCTCTAGATTCTCCTTAGAATGACCAGAATCCCTAAATCCATCTAGAAATATCCAGATGTCTTTGTCTAATACAAAAATCAATGACCTTTTATTTGGTAAATATTCCCTTCTATTGAAAGTCCAACCTAAGCCACTGTCACAAGCCTTTAAGAAGCTCTGTGGGATTCATTTCGGTCTGCCAACTCATTCAAGAGTGATTTTAAAGCATAATGGCAAATCAATTAAGGAAACTGATTTGAATTTTAGAAACATATTTTCTATAAGTTGTTGAACATTTATAGAAGTGTGCTATTGAAATTCGAAATAATACGTTATGAAATGTTTGGATGATTGAAAAATGTAAAGCACATTTTATCAGCTTCATGATACTATGTTGGTTTTCTATACTCATCTAAAAACTGAGGACCAAGTTTAATGTATAGAAAAGGTTGATTAATATAAAGCAACAAAAATGTAAAATTAATCTCTGGTTTATCTTTGCAGTAGATGCAAACATTAACTCATACACACAAACTTGTCTGTCTCTAAACCTGACCTTAGTCTTTTAATGTCCTTTAGTTTAATGACACTAAATTATGGTGTTCTACGAGAGATTTTGAAATGTGAATCTAAAAATTCATCTAGAAATGAGTTCTGAGGAGCAAGGTCAGTACTGGAGACATTCATTTAGAAGTCATTTGTGAAAGTGACAATTGAAGGAGACCGTGCAAGTAAGATCTCCAAGGAAGAGCCTGCATGGCTAGTAATGAAAGAGGATCAAGAACTGAATCTTGAGGAATGCCAATACTTAAGGTTCTACTGAAGGAATAAAGAGAAAAAAATGAGATTAAAGTTTGTATAGTGTAAGAGAGTGATTTTCACACATAATTGAAAACAAAGTGTAAACATTAGCAAAAAATCTCAGTAGAAATGGTAATTGAGACAGGTAGCTGAGACAACAGATGAGAACAGATACAGTTTTGGAAAATTCTATCTTTTCATGCTGTGCTAATAAGGCTGTAGATCAAATGATATAATGGATATAAAAGCATGCTTAAAGAAATAAATCACAGGATTTTAGGGTGATTATTTTGATTTTTACTACCAGATTCCATTTGCTAAATCCCAGAAGAGGTAGTTTAATGTTCCCTCATTTAGACATTTCAAAAGCTTTTTGGTTGCACTTGAACTTTTCTGCTGTGATACCATAGAGCAAAGTAAAAGAAATATATATTTTTAAATAAAAATAAATGCATTTACTTATTTCCACTAAAAGAAAAAAATACTCCAATTGAGTCAACGATAAATTCCAAAGGGGACTAGATTGTTACCTAAAAGTGCTAAGAATAGAGTGTGATAAAATACCCACTAAAAGAAGATGTTTGTTTTTGTTTTTGTTTGTTTTTGTTTTTATTCTTTGCTTTTTGGTTCTTGGTTTTTGTTTGTTTGTTTGTTTTTTTGCCTCCTGTGTCACTGGTACCACAGGTATATGCGACCACACCCAGCTAATTAAACTTTTTTTTTTTTTTTTTTTTGTAGAGATGGGAGTCTCACTATATTGCCTAGGCTGGTTTCGAACTCCTGGGCTCAAGAAATCCTCCCTCCCCACATCCCAAAGCGCTAGGATTACAGCAGTTAACCTCCGCACCCAGCCAGAAGGAGGTTTCAAATATTGGAAAACCTTAACTTTTTTCAATGAGCGTTTTTGCATCAAGGGATAACAGGGACATTAGGTTTTTTTCTCTTAGACTCCAAAACAGTAAGGTCAGAATTTATCAAGACATTACATAGGAGTTAGGGCACAACAGGGAATGGTGGCCGGGGGGGGGGGGACATTTTCCAGCACTAATTAACAGGTTTTATGATTCATTAGGTTGGCCCAACTACTGTTCTCACCTAATTCACAGGCACAACATGTCAGAAGGCCAAATGACACTTTCAAGTGCAAGTGCTTGTAGTATAAGGAAGGCAGAGATCACCTGGTGACCATCAAGCAGGCCATCCAGAGGCAAAACTACTTATATGAGGAATTTAGAGGTAATTAGACTCCTCTATTATCTATACCTGGCATCTAGTTCCAGGCATCTTTCCCCAAAATTTGTAAGTAACTAGAATTTCTATACATCTCCGATGCATGCATGTCAAAACTCATTGTGCAACCCTTGCTGACATTAAGGCACCAAAATGCCTAAAAGTGTTGTCATTTATCATGGCCTAAATCCACTCAGTCCTCTCTTGCTGAGGCGCCCCGCTGCACTCTTCTGCAATGTATTTTCTTTATAACAAAACTATATTTCAAACCTATACCGTTTTCTGTAAATTCTTACTAACCTATGACCCGTGAGCCAACCATTTTCTGATGCCAGGTCTCTGACACCTCAGCTGGCATAATATAAATAAAGGTTTGTTTGTTTTTATAACATTCCCCTTGGAAAGACTACAGAGGAATCTTGCACTGAATAGTTCAAACTAGAAAGAGCAGAGTTAATTACCTGAAAAGCAACAGAAAACAAGGGATAAATTTTGAACCAAGGAAAATCATTTAAGAAGTATGTGGTGTTTTTTGTTGTTTGTTTGTTTGTTTGTTTGTTTTAATAGAGACGGGGTTTCATCAGGTTGGCCAGGATGGTCTCAATCTCTTGACCTCGTGATCTGCCCACCTCGGCCTCCCAAAGTGCTGGGATTACAGGCTTGAGCCACCGCACCCGGCGTATCTGGTGTTTTTTAAATTTCTGTCAGTTGTTACATTTGTCATAAGCTAATGTTTGGGATTAAAGAATAGAGACATGTTTATCTAATGACCCCCCTCCAAAAAAAAAAAAAATGAAAAACAAAATGCAGTGCAACCACTTAAAAAATGATCTTTAGGTTTTAGAGCCCTCAGATACCACGTAATATACTGAACAGTGGTTTTCAACTTTTTTTTCTTTTGAGACGGAGTTTCACTCTCGTTGCTCAGGCTGGAGCACAATGGCAGGATCTCGGCTTACCGCAACCACCACCTCCCATGTTCAAGAGGTTCTCCTGCCTCGGCCTCCTGAGTAGCTGGGATTACAGGCATGCACCACCATGCCCAGTTAATTTCTTTATTTTTAGTAGAGACAGAGTATCTCCATGTTGGTCAGGCTGGTCTCCCAACCTCAGGTGATCCACCTGCCTTGGCCTCCCAAAGTGCTGGGATTACAGGCGTGAGCTACCACGCATAGCCAGTTTTTAACTTAAATTCTGGCTGCAAAACACCGGAATGCTGGGACATGTGATCCATCAGGAACGAGTGCTGACTGTGCTATGATTGCAGTTCACAAGTGAGAGGTGAGTCGTAACTGAGTAAATCAGAAAATTCATCTTATCAAGAGAGACTTTGTACCTAAAATGACTTTCCCGATTTCTCACCCATATCTCACAAGAGGCAGGGCAAAGACTAGAACTCAAGTCTCCTGACTCCCAACTTTAGAACTTTGTCTGCTTTCACTGCCTGTCTCCCCTTCAGTGGTCTCTTCACTCACTCTCACACTTGCTGCTACTTCAAATTGGAAAAAGATTGTTTCCAACCACACTCTCACCCCAACCATCCATTTGGCTAATTTCTACTTATCTGTTAGATTTCACCTTAGGCATCACCTCATCCAAGGTGCCTTTTCTAACCTCCCTAGGAACCCCACTGCTTATTCGGCACTGCCGCCTGGGTTGTATACTCTGCACCACACTAGTTATCATTTGGTACGTCCCCATCCATTTACTGTACTTTATTGAGTTAGTTTTTTAATTGTCTTTTGTCCCCGACCAGCCCACAGGGCTTCTTTTCGTATTCACCACTGCATTCTCAGTTCCTGTTACTGGACTTGCCTGGCACATGGGAAGCGTTCATTAGATACCTGATGAATACATTGAATTAATACTTTTTTTTTTTTTGAGACGGAATTTTGCCCTTGTTGCCCAGGCTGGAGTACAGTGGCATGATCTCTGCCTCCCAGGTTCAAGTGATTTCTGCCTCAGCCTTCCAATTAGCTGGAATTATAGGCACCTGCCATCATGCCTGGCTAGTTTTTATGTTTTTAGTAGAGACAGGGTTTCACCATGTTGGCCAGGCTGGTCTCAAACTCCTGACTTCAGGTGATTCTTTTGTAAAAATTGTATACTCTTAAAATAATAAGTAGTATATTTGCTTCTCAATGAGAGTATAATCACATGGATTATATAAAAAATAAATTCACAGCTCATCCAGTCTTTGAAGATTTCAAAAAGTTTTTATGCCTGAGAGACATTTAACAATAAATCTGATGGTTTCTCTATAAATATGGGGTACAAAGGCAATTTTATTACTTGTATCAATTGTATAGCAATAAAATCAGAGTTTTTAAGGTATCCATCACCCATATATGTTGTACACATTAATTTCTCAGCAACCACCCTATCTGACCCATCACTCTTACAAGTCCCTGTTGTCTGTTATTCCACACGCAATGTCCATAGGTACACAATAGTTATCTCCCACTTAAGAAAAGTGATATTTGACTTTCTGTGTCTGGCTTGCTTTGCTTAAGATAATGACCTCCAGTTCTATCTGTGTTGCTGCAAAAGACATGATTTCATTCTTATTTGTGGCTGAACAGTATTCTATTGTGAATGTATGCCACATTTTCTTCATTCAATCATCTGTTGATGGACACTTACATTGATGCCATATATTTGCTATTGTGAATAGTACTGCAATAAACATATG